TGTTCTTTTCTTAAAAATCTATATTTGTTGAATATTTTAAATCTGTTTGTTGAAGACGTTAGTTAAATTAAACCAGTATTTTTTCTTGTTTTGATTTGAAATTTAATTTCTACATATATCACATAATTAAGGAAAAAATTAAGAAAATAAGTAAATGGCTGTTTACGTGCTAATGAGGTTGTATAACTGTTAGCGATTTTTACATGGATTTATTTTTTTATATAGGATCCTATAATTTCCATATCTCCCCTTACAAGTAGATACATTCGATAATGGATGGAAATACAAGAAACCTCAATTGCCAGACTGCGAATTTGTCACAAAATAGGCAACACATAGCTTTTGAAATAATTTATACACATAAAGAATTAAACGAATTAAAACAATATTATTAATAATTAATTAAAACAATATTATTAGTTATTTTCCACTAATAAAGACTCGATTAATATATTCTGAGTTTGTCTAGAACATGCTTACCAATATAACTTTTCTAAGTTATGCGCTACTTTTAATTTCTAACAATATACCACTTTTTCATAGTAGATCATCTTGTTTATGACTGTTAGTGAATTGATCTGGCAATATTTTGTTAAATGAGGGCTTAATTGAGATCAAATTGAATAAAAAAAAACTTATTCCATACTTTTAAACATGTTTTCATTTTTAGTTATAGTTAAAATGTTGGAAAATACATCGTTCGCAAAATATACCTAATTTGTATTTTAGTTAAATATTTGTATTTCAGAAAGCGTTAAATATACTTCAAATCAAGTTAAATTTAAGAAATGCTGTCAACAAAAGTTAAAACGAAAATGAATTTCATAATTTCATTATTACCATTCGATTAATAACTATCTAAAAAATGTGATTCTATTTAACATAACATTTTCTGAAAATCAATTTAAACTTTCGGAAATATTAGTCCAGCAAAGATAGACATAAGAAGACGGAATGAGCAAACTATTTTACTCTGAGATTTTTTTATAGAAAAGTGTAGATTTTGAGCTCAGAAAACATATGTCGCACACGTAACCACCAGCAACATAAAGCGTTTTGATATATTAGATATATGTATGTATACAGGGTGTTTGTAAATAAGTGCGAAATATTTTAGGGGGTATTTGCCGAAGTTATTTTGTGAACGAAAGTTCATATAAACGTAGGTAGAAATATGCTTCATTTCCGAGATACAATGTTTAAATTTTAATTTTTTATTTATTTTTATTCATTTTCAAAGAATTTTAAAAATATTGACTCGATATTTGATGGTTGTACTTTATTTAGAAATATTGACAGCAACCTACTAGATAATGTATCAATAGAAATTAAAATACACAACTTGCAGTAAAGTACGTTTTATTTTTTTCCTCAAAAAACGGTGCATACTACAAAAAAAATGAAGAGACCAATTTCATTCAGAATTGATGGCGGATTTCTAAAAAATATCAAAACGGGAAAGTCAATGGCGTACGATTTTTTTTATTAAAAAAGGTTGTGGTATTCTCCCACGAACGCCACTGGTGCAAGTAGAAAAAGTAAATAAAAAATTTAAATTTAAACACTGTATCTCGGAAACGAAGCATATTTCGACCTACCTTTATATGAACTTTTTTTCACAAAATAACTTCAGCAACCACCCCCTGAAATAGTTCGCACTTATTTACAAACACCCTGTATAAATATATGACTTTTCGCATTTTTTGACAAAAAGCTGCCAATATCTCAATAAAAAGTTTCAAATAATAGTTGTTCAAAATTAACTCTTCTACAAAATTGCTCTTATGAAAAATTTCAATTTTCCCAATAGTTTTCCCGTATACTTTGTAAATGAATTACAGATTATTTGAAAATTAATGTTTTGTAGCCAAAATAGTGATCAAATCATTTTTAAATAACAAAAAGGAATTAGATAAAAGAAAATTGAAGATTTCTGAAAACGAATTTTGAAAATAATTAACATTTTATGAAATAGATCGGGTTAATTTGAAATAACGCCTGAAATTTATACTAAAATTAAATTGACAGTTTCTAAATACATCTACAGTGTGTACATATTTGATCCGGAACACCAATTTTATTTTCAGCGTAGGGAGGGCATAGACATACGTATGGGACACACTTCGAAGTAGATAATGTTATCGTGGCTTGCTATGATTATTTTAATAATGATGTTTTTGGAAAATCGTAGGTACTAGGGATTTTTTTATTAGAAATTTGACAACACTGAGTTATTCAGCACCATTTAAAATCCAAATACTCCAAAATTCATTAATTTATGTCGTTGCATGTTTTTTTTATAGAGCCTTAAAATCCCAAAAACTGAAAATTCTTATTTTAGTTTCAAAATAGGTATAGGGGGCTTTTAAAAATGAGTAAAAACAATAAATACAATCAAAAAATGCGATTTATTCGTGATACAGCAGAAATTGATTTTCGTCGGTTTGGATGTTCAGCATTAAAAATTCTAACTACTTCTCAGTACTTCGATCATTTCTGCCTGTTAGTCGAATTATTTGCAATTTTTCGTTAATACTTAAGTTATCAAGAAAAAATAAAATTACCTAATTTTAAAATGTATCTAATGGTACCCATATTGTTTTTTCTTTCTTAACATGATATTTCAACCTTTTTAAATTGTATTTTATTGTTTTTACGCATTTCTAAAAGCCCCCCATATTTTCAAACTAAAATAAGATTTTTTAGTTTTTGGGACATTAAGGCTTTATAAAAAAAAATGCAACATAAATTAATGAAATTTTGGGTATTTGAATTTTAAATGGTGCCGAATAACGCAGTGTTGTCAAATTTCTAATAAAAAAATCCCTAATACGATTTTCCAAAAACATCATTATTAAAAAAATCATAGGAAGTCACGAGATAACATTATCTCCTTAGAAATATGTCCCATACGTGTGTCTATGCATTCCCTACTCTGAAAAAGATTGACATTAAAATCGCCCGACCCTGTAAAATTCTACACTGTTATTCCGTGTCAAATCTGTACACATTGTAGATAGGTGCAGATGGGCTAATCCTCAGTCTGGTTAACTAACCGTCATCTCTCAAATCCTTGAGATTTTCGCTATTAAGTCTCCACTCAACAACTCTAACATACGATCTGATAAAAAAAGAGAAACATTGAACAAGAAAGATGCTGATAGCATTTAGGTAAGTACATATAATACAATCACATAGGATCTACATGTAATAACATAATTCTCGCTCATTTATAATATTTTTTGCACTTTATAAAAACTATGAATAAAATATTGCAAAAATATCGAATTATTTAAGAATTAACGTTATATATTTTTTATATTAACTACTTAGACCAGTCATTATAGACATTAAAGAGCCTGTTTCGGGAAAAAAAATACTATTAGAAGTTTCTCTGCGGAATATTGTTCGGAAACCTGTTATAAATAAAATATCAAAAAATCAACTCGAGGCTAGTTGGGAAACTTTGTTAAAACAATGGTCAAAATTATGCAGAAGTGGTTTTTTGACTCACGTAAAAAAACTATTATTCATAGCGAAAAAAAAGTTTATACAAAAAAGGTAGGTATTAAATAAGCCTATAAAATAAGAAAAGTCCGATTAAATTCCGATAATTTGTTTATGCACAAGAGCTCAAAAATGGTCGAAAATTGCCGTTTTTTTCAATTGCTAATAATTAATGCAATTTTCATCGCAGACACTTGTAATTCAGGATTTTTGAGGCTTTTTACACCCTTAATAAGTGGTAAAAATTTCAGCTCGAAAGCTTCATTGGTTTGGCGTTGGCGGAATTTGTTATCTAAGAAGATGCTATTTTCAATTCATTTTTCCCAAGCTCACAGGCGTTGTAGGGTTTTGATCATTAGTTGTTTTTGTACCTAAATAGTTGTATTGACATAGGCATTTACTGAGAATTTAGTTTTTCAAATTTAATTTGTTTAAAATTGATTGAAAAAATGTTAATATTTATTAAATTGTTAAGATAGGTAATTATTATAAAATAAAATAGTAACCTCTTTACTTTAGTTTTCTTCGAATTTAAAAAAAAATCGTTGTTGTAAGTTGATTAGAAGCTGAGATAATTTTTTTTATTTATTTAATCGCAGTGACCTTAATTATTAATATTAAGAGCCGAAATTTGGAGAGAGTATACATTAAGAGCTATATTTTCATGTCCTACATTAACATTAAGGTGAATTCAACTATTTAATTTCGAAAAAGAAGATAGCGGCGATGCGTTCTATTACTTGGTCTAGCGAACGAGTGGGGAAGGCGAGGCTTAGCATGCGCGCTTAACGATGTAATAAATATTAACATTTTTTCAGTCATTTTTAAACAAATTAAATTTGAAAAATTAAATTATCAGTAAATGCATATGTCAATACAACTATTTAGGTACAAAAACAACTAATGATCGAAACCCTACAACGCCTGTGAGCTTGGGAAAAATGAATTGAAAATAGCATCTTCTTAGATAACAAATTCCGCCAACGCCAAGCTAATGAAGCTTTTGGGTTGAAATTTTTACTACTTATTAAGGGTGCAAAAAGCCTCAAAAATCCTGAATTACAAGTGTCTGCGATGAAAATTGGATAAATTATTAGCAATTGAAAAAAGCGGACAATTTCGACCATTTTTGAGCTCTTGCGCATAAACATATTATCGGAATTTAATCAGACTTGTCTTATTATACAGATTTATTTAATACCTACCTTTTTTGTATAAACCTTTTTTCTCTATGAATAACACTTTTTTTACGCGTGTCAAAAAACCACTTTTCTATAATTTTGACCATTGTTTTAACAAAGTTTCCCAACTAGTCTCGAGTTGATTTTTTGATATTTTGTTTTTAACACGTTTCTGAACAATATTGCGCAGAGAAACTTCTAATAGTATTTTTTTCCCGAAAAAAAGCTATAATGACTGGCCTAACTGACAGGATGTAAATATTTGTTATCGCTATAAAAGTGAGAATTATAAAAAAAGTAAAACATATTTACCTCCACATAAGCATATGGTGCAATTTTTACTCGATTCACAGGACTCTTAGGATTTGCCTTCGCCGCAGGCTTCTCTTCTGGCTTAGGCTTAGCCTCCTTCTTCTCAGTGCTCATCTTCTTCAAGAATTTTAGTTCGATTTTATTGTTTAATTCCGGCATTTATTGTCGTATTAATCTACTGTTACTTAAAGAATTATGTGCTTATATACCGGACAGTTATCTTAAAAAAATATATGCCTATCAGTTGGTTAATATTGCTTTACATATTAAGGTGCTTAGTTTTAAATATATGGTTATAAAATATACATTTATTTACGCACGGTTAGAGACTCACATTTAAGACACATATTATTTCATATACATTTAAAATATTAACATTTACGTAGAGTAGGAACAGATTTTTACATTTGTTTACAGCATGTTTAGCATTTTAGGTGGGTTCGTTTATAAAAATATGGACATTTAAAGCGTCAGCTGGCGGAATCACAGTGTTTACATGTGTTTATTTAAAAAATTTGCGTGGGCTCTCGTCGTATTCACGTCCGTGGTCGGCGATTTGCGGGATGAAAAGCATGCGATGCATACGAAACAGCAGAAACACCCAAACTGAAAGCTCTCGAGAAAAGCCAATAGAAGCCCGCTTCACGCAGCTGAAAGCTTGTATTTCAGCGGCAAAATAATCTTTGACAGAACTGGCAAATTTCATCGGTTCGCGGGTAGGCTTGACCATTGTTTCTTTCGGGTTCTTATAAGTGTTGACGTTCTTTATCGCGATGGGGGTATGTAATTTGGTTTGTTTATCGCATTGTGCGGATCATGTAAGGAATTTGTTAAGTCGCGTTGCCTGACTGCCGCCAATTAGTATTTTTTTTTAATGATATACCGCTTTATGAATAAAATAACAGGTCTTTTGATTAATTTAGCAGTTAATTTTTTCTCTCCTGAGTTATGAATTTTTTTTTGACATGTTCCATGATTTTTTATTGCCCTTTTAATAAAGAAGGAAATAATCACGATTCATATCGGTTATTTATATGGAAATTGATAGATTTTTTCTACGTATAATTTAATTCTCTTGAACATGCATAAAACGGACGATTATTAGGAATTGACGTCATTTCAAATTTGCATAAAAGGGTAATCTACTCTACTGGCGATGACAAACTTCTAACACAAAAATTCAAATAAATTAGCTATTTGACCTCATTTACGAAGATATTACTGCTTGAAGACCTATTGACTATCATTTTTTTTAATGGCTTCTAAACCAATCATCATCAGTACCAAATTTGATACACATTTTTGGCTATTGATGACGCTTTATACAGAGTTAGATACATTGATTCAGTAGAACCTGCTGTTTCACAGATATTTTGATACAAAAATCGATTTTGATAATTAAAAAAACAACATAATGAAATAATTAATAAATCTATTTTACAAACTTGGAGAAGATATCTGAGGAGTAAATAAATCGAGGAGGGAGAAATCAATTGGCATATTTTTTTTTACAAATGAAGACCACAGGCAAAAACGATGGAAGGCGCTTTTACTTCATTTGCTATAAAATGAATTTTAAAGTTTAAAACTAAATTCGGAAATCATACAATTTAAATTTTAAATCAATTTTATTTATCGTTAAAACGATAAAAGTAAGTATCCATAGACCGCTATGATTTTTCTACTTTTTTCACGCATTTTTTTGGTAGATATTAATATCCTTTTTATGCCGTAAACATTTACATTCAGCGTTTTTGCGTTATAGGGTTCAAATAGAATTACACATTTTTTTAACACCTAGTATCTTATCACATTTTTAGTAAATAATCATTGAACCCCGAAAAAATATCACTCTGTAGAATATCATGACCATTTGGCATGTCCAATGATGTAAGCCCTCTAGCGTAACCTATATTTCAAATTTGAACTAAATATCTCAAAAATGTAGGAGCTATAGGGAAAAAAATAAAAAAACTTAAAATTTCAACACCCTGTAGATCGGTAACGAAGCGTTTGCGGACCTATGTTTATATGAACTTTTAGTCATGAAATAAGCCAAAGAATTACCCCCTCCTTTATGTACATGATATTTAGAAACACCCTGTATATGGCAATATAAACAGTTAAACATTTTAGTGCGAGGTCGCCAAGTTATGTAGAAAATTCTTCGAATTTTCGAAAAAACATGACCTCGAAGAAGTTGTATTAATTTTCAACTACTAACTTAATAAAAATAAAGTTTTTTCAGAAATGTGGCTATATCTTAAAAACCAACAATTTTAGATATAGAACATGCTTAATAAAAGTTGAAGTGGACCATTTAAAAAATGTAATATTTGGCGTGTCCCGTTTTTACTTATCGCCCTGTATGTTTCAAATTAATTTTGTAGTTTAGGTTTCTTGATTCTGTACAACTTTTATATAAACATTTTTTCTGTGTAATGAGTAACAAGTGAGTTATTTTACTTTCTCACACTAATGGGCCACACTGTATGTAGAGTAGTTATGAGGTCTATGAATGTCTAGATTTTTGGTAAAGAACATTGTTCGACTTTATTTGATAGAATTTTTAGAAAAATGTTTGCACTAATTTGAATTAGTTGTAATAAAGTAACAGTTTCTGTATTTACCACAAAACAATACAACAAAAAACGCACGGCGAGCTATCTATGGCCACTCTTTTATGTGGGAGACGATTCCAGAGGTTTCAATAAGTTGTAACAATGTTGGTTATTATTAATTTTAAGCAATCTTTAGCAAGTTTCAACAGTTTGCTAGTAAAAGTGCTTAGCACTACTGCAATAAACTTACCATTAGAAAAATCTATCCAATTTGTAATCATGTAAGATGTTTAACATACTTTTCTAAACGATTATTTTGTGTATCTTTTTTTAATACAAATTTAGCAGAAGTGTTCTAAAAAGTTGTCAGTTTGTCGTAAAAAAGTCGACGTACGATGTAAGCAATTTATTTCACATCTAACCTGGTACAGAGTTACAAAAAGTTAGTTAACTTCACTACGGTTTCTGGTCAGTTTCAAACAATTTCTGTTACAGTGTCGATAAATCCTAATAGCATTATATTAATGGTGTAATTTAAATAATACATGCGAAATGAGCGCGTAGGTAGGTTAAAAGGATTTTCGGTATGCAAACAGCAAACTGATGGCTGCAATCAATAAATATGCAAATTGCGGCAAATTTTCACATGCGGTATGAAACAAAATTCGCATTTTAGGTAAATATCTACCCGGTTTTTGGAAATATGCAACATCCGTAATGTTTTTAGAAGCCTTTATGTATTGCCCATGAAAGGTACAGATGTTTAGTATTTAGTTATTTTTTTACGTATAGCTATAGCACAAAATCGATTGAATCAAATATCTCACTGACATTAGGTTAAAATTTTACAGCAGATGTTTCCTTGGCAATTTTCGCATGTGGAAATTACATTGGCTGTCTATACAGTGGGGACCATTTTGGTGATGCATGTATTGGTATCTTGGAAACTATAAGGGATACTGTTGCTAACTTAATGGCGCTTGCAGACCTGTCCCGGCTCTTCAGGTTTTTGAGTTATTTTGCATAAAATTAAATGTGGCGTTTTCGAAAATCGTCAGTAACTTTTTTATTTAGAGGAGTTTTCAAAATCTGAAAACACTTTTTTTCACAGCAAGTTTTTTCGGGGAATGTCACTGTATATTTCGATTTTCATTGCGACTTTTCGGCTGCGGGAAATCATCATCAGCATTCTTTTTTTTATGGGCGCCATACTAAATTGTAATCTGAACAAATAAAGCATTTACTTTTTTTGGTTTTTCAGTGATAAGTAGGAAAAAATTTCAAAAGCAACCTCAAAAATTAATGTTTTAAAATTTTTAATAAATCTGGCAACACCGTTCAAAACTATTACTTACTTATCATTAATGTCATGACGTTGAGTGAAAAAATTACGCTCTGCCTTATTCCAATGAAGAAGAACGTGATATGTCCGAGTGTTTTATTATGAATAATAGAAAAGCAACTGTGGCTTTAAACAGTTATATTGGAAATTATTCCGAATGACAACCACCAAATGAAACGTATTTTTCTAAATTTATTACAAAGAGAATGTTTGGAAGTTTAGAAAAGCTACATGCTAAGAACTATGAAAGAGATAATAACTGGGGCAATCAAATAATAGATTATTTCTACAACAATCCAATAACATCAGCAGCACTATGTAATAGAGAAATATTTATTTATTTATTTATCGGGATTATTATTCGAAATGATGACCATTTTTGGCTATGCACCTTAGTAAAATATTATTTGTCACTCGCCGAATGGTATTCCTATTAATCTTTGCAAACATATGACTATTGCTATCATATATTTACTAAAGGCCATGGCATTAATGATAAGCTTTTACAAAAATTTGAGACTAGATATTCAATAATAGTTTCGAAAAAGTATGCGGTGTTGCCAGATTTATTAAAAATATTAAAATATTGATTTTTGAGGTTGTTCTTGAAATTTTTTCCTACTTATATCATTGAAAAGCCAAAACTGTCCTATTTGCTCAGCTTAAAATTCAATATGGCGCCCATAAGAAAAAAGAAAGTTNCATTTTCATTTTCCTCTACGACAAAAACCTTTTCAAAAATATATTTACAATTTTACTAAATGCACGAGCATAAAAACTGAATAAATACAACAGCAAAAATATGGTGGTGGTTCACTTATACATAAAAATACCGAAGATGCAATCAACTGAAAGTTGCATTCATTCAACCATTTGATGTTCTCCTTTGGGAATATATTTTTATGTCTCACTGAAAATTTGCCTCAGTATTCTAAAAGTGAAATGTGAACGTTTTTAGGATGCTTGGGGATGGTGCAACAAGAAAGAAATGGTTACAGTTATTGGGATTCCAAGAAGTTATAAAAATATTATATATATTTATTATAAAAATACTGAGTAGCTGTTGAAATATATTGACTTAGGACTATAAAATATTTTATTTTGACCCATCCAAAATGTACGACATTGGAGATGTAATCGCGCGCATCAGTTGGATGAAAATAAAGCCCTCTGCTTTCCCCTTGTCTAGCTTCACCCAACATATGAGATAGACTGTGACATGCATAGTCCCCTTTATTTAAATGTCCTTGGAAAAG